AACTATCCACAGAGAATAAAAAATAATATTGAAAAAAGGAAACGAAGTCTAAACAAAGTATAAAATTGAAATTGGATGTAAGAAAAATATTTTGATAATAAAAAAAAAATTAAAAAACAAAAAATTCTTGTAACAAAAAAAAAAAGTCTTGAACATTTTTTTCAAAATTTTTATACTGTTTTTGTTTGCTTTTTTAAGGGTTGCTATTTTCAGCTACTAAATTTTATACAAGTCAAGGAAAAGACGACAATAAGTCATAAAGTTTTCACGAAAATTAAAAGACTTAATACCTAATTTATTCACGAACTTTATCAGACAATGTATTAAAAAACTGGTTCATTATTTACGCTAGACAAATTTGGTTAATCTTTTTCATTTACTTTAGTTTTTACGAAGGTTTATGCAAAGGCGTTGACTTTATTCCCCAATACTTTGACAAGAAAATAAATTGCTGTTTTAATTAAATGCGGTAGTGGTGTAGTGGTAGAGCGCTCGCTTCATAAACGAGTGGTTCGGAGTTCGATCCTCGCCACGTCCCTGGTAGTACCGCGCTCAACTCGTTTCTCCGCGCAGCGGCCTTGTTCATCAAGGTTCGTGTTTCGGAGTTATAGAGTTGAGAGAGGGTTATAGCCACAAATAAGTAGCCTCCTCGTCTGTAGTGGCCTTCTCGGCCTTGAGGAGGTGAATTAAAATAAAAAAAAAAAAAAAAAAATTATTAAATTTATTATTTGAGATTTTAAACATAACAAAATTTTAATGTGAAAAAAGTTCTTTCTCCACTTATTCTAAACTGATTATACTGAGTTAATGCTCCCCTATTTATTACAAATTTTACATTAAAAGGTCCTTTTATTTTCTTTAAACATTAATCTTTTTCTTTTTGATTTGATTTTTCTTATTGATTTGATTTTTCATAGCTAAAATAACTACCACCCTAAAAAAATTAATAAATAAAATATAGATAAATTTTTTTTTTAATAATATACGTTAATTTTTTAATTTTAAAGCACAAACAGATTTCTGTTATTAACTTTAATATTGCTTGCATTTTTGCGGTATTTTCGTTTAGCTTTGTTTTGGCGCGAATTCATGAAACGCATAATAATAAAACGTGGTCAGTTAGTCAGAAAAATTTATTCTATGCGTGGACAAACAAGGCGTGCGACCGCACGCCTTTCCTGGGAAAGCCTGATGATACTTATATACATACATATTCATAGATACACACATATACCAATGGTAGTCAAAGAAAGTAATGAATGTTTATATTACTATATATATAGTTATATTACTAGAAAAAGAATAGTTATATTACTAGAAATCAGCATGAAAACTTCTAATGCCGAAACATATCTAGCCAACTCAGCCATACTACAAATGACCTTAGATGGATGTAGCATCCATATCTAGGATATATTACCCCCTGGTTATAAAAGTTAGCTCAGATATGTATCAGAAACAAAAACACTCTCCCGCGGAAACAGCAATTAAGTATGTAAATTTGTACGATGTAATTTTGTATTTGTATTGTAAAATTGTATATTGTAAATTTGTATAAGTATGTAAATGTTATACTACTAGAAATCAGCGTGAAAACTTCTAATCGCGAAACACATCTAGCCAACCCAGCCATTCTACAAATGACCTTTGATGGATGTAGCATCCATACATAGGATTTATATTATCTTCTGGTTCTAAAAGTTAGTCAATACAAAATAGTTATTTTTTAGACATCTGGTTTTTTATTCTAAATTTCCTGTTATCAATTGAGAAGTCAAATGCAGATTCATTGGAGTCACTTGATATGTTTTCCTCTAAACTCTGTACAGTAAGATTGCCTAAATTAAATTATTGGCTTCGACTTTGAGTTGTTGATGATTCTGTATTTCACATTTTGTTGATGATTCTGTACTTCACATTTTTTATTTTTGAGTTCTAAATTATGGAAAATAAAACTAATTTTGATGTTTTGTCATTTGTTAATCTATTCTGTTTTTGAATGCGGATCCAAGATTTTCAACTAAATGTTCTTTTAACTGCCGCACTTGTTGGTGAAAGTTTTAAAATCTTACTAACAATACTTGACAGTATTGGAGCGCATAAACAGTATATTCCCTTCCACCAACTCTGGGAGATGCGCGTTTTACTAAAGCCCATATAAAAGGTTTTGAATAAAAGTCATTTAGATCTATAGTTAGAAATCTCACCCAAAGTTTTGTCATAACAGTCCTTAATCGAAGGATCCAGTTTTCCTAAATTATGAGGGGTTTCAATGGCATCAATCTAAAGCAGATGTTTTTAATCAATTAATAATTCATTAAGATGTGCATTGATCAAATTGATACAAATTTTGAGTGACTATTTTAAAAAGCTAATTATATAATAAAAATATATAAAAATTAAAAGAAAAATTTTTTAATTTCTTTGAAAAAAAGTGTAACATAATATTAATTTAATAAGTTACTCATCATGTTCTAACATATCATTTTGAATGTCAAAACCCAGTACAGTTTTCACGCAATTGCCTTAGTAGGTAGTCAAACAAATAGGTTTTTAGGTATGTTAAACAAATAGGTTGACGACATTGTTGACAATTATACCTTATTTGTTTATTTTGTGTGCAGGTCTAGCTTATTTTTCTTTTATTTTCATTTCTGATATTATCTTGGGATTGTTTTAAAATGGGATTGTTCTAAAATG